GGCATTTTGGCCTTCGCCATTTTGGATTTTTGGAGCCGGAATGACCATATTTGGACAAGAGGCTGGAGATAACCCTAATGCTAGCTGCTAGCTTGGTTAGCATGGTGCATTTACAGCTATGGTTAATACTGTGATAATGCTAATGCTAATTTTTGCTAGCAAAAAACAGGCTTAAAACCATGAAAACAAATGTCCTCACCAGAAAAACTGAATATCTGACTCCTTAGAGAGTCTTTTAGTACAGCTGAATGTTGAACAAGACTTTTTTTAGGCGACCAGAATGTTACAATTAAATTTAGTGAACTGAAAACACATTGAAATAGCAAAAGCTACAGCTACACCTATACTCTGTGAATCTGGGGTCTAATAGGCTGTCTAAAGTTGAATTTATATTTGTAAACTCAATGATTTATATAATAAAAAAAAAAAGATACTTGGCACTGTGTAATGATACGATATTGCCACACAAAAACATCGCAATACTTTAAAATGGGGGGGGGGCACCATTTATGCTTTATCATGATACAACGATATCCAAATTAGTCTCATATCTCGATAACAATATAATATCTTCATATTGCCCAGCCCTAACTCCTACACTCTGTGAATCTGGGATTACGCCATGACTATGTGACCTAACCAATGTTTTAGCTGTGGCAGCAACTTGTCAATGGAAGGCACCCAGCTGTCATGCAAAGAGGCCACACTCTTAATTATGCATAACTTGAAGTCTTAAAAACATTTAATCTAGTTATATAAAAATTCACCCCCACAAACAGTTGTTACGAATGGGGAAATTAAGCTATTTTACCAGACTGTAAACATGTTTATTTCTGCTTTATTTTCTGCATTTTAACATGGGGGTCTATAAGGATTGACTCGCTTTTGGTGTCAGCCTCAAGTGGCCATTAGAGGAACTGCAGTTTGTAGCACTTCCGTGTTGGCTTCATTTTTCAGCCGCAAAGGTTGCCGCTCAACAGCGTGCATGTTGCAAATACAGATGGATGTTAAGTCACACAAACATACACAAACTAAGAAACAAATGCAACAGAAAAACACTGCACATCCAATCAACATAACAAAAGCTCTCCAGCCCTGTAGGGGGAGCGCTGACCTGAATGACAGTATGCAAGTCTGTTGCTCCTTCATAATATTTAAAAAGACTGTGGACAAATTGCCACCTCAGAGTAATAAGGATTTATGACACACTGTCTTTGGTCAAAAATCAAGCTGTCCCACTCAGTGCTCCCCCTAGAAGCCTGTAGAACTTCTGCTGCGTTAACTAGATATGCAGCTTTTTTTGTTGCATTTGTTTTTGGGGTTTGTGTGTTTGACTTTCCATCATTTCTGTATTTGCAGCGTGTTTGCTATTAATATTTTTGTTTTGGCCTTCTGCAGCACATTTTTTATTCGCAGCACATTTCCATTGTTGTATTTGTTTTGGATTTTTGACTTGGCATCGTTCCTGAAGCCAAAAAAAGAAACATCCCAAGTCAACCTTGGTTTTCTCCAAGCCAATGCATGACGCCCAGACGCAGAAGTGAAACTCTACTGTAACACTTTTTTCTGTGTACTTTCCTCTCACTCTTCACTCTCTCCTGTTTTCTCTTCTCGCAGTTTTACTTGCACATTTTTCCCGACAGAAATCAACCCCCCATCTGCTCATCACTTAAGGCTACTGTGGGTTGTCTCGTGCTCATTGAGTGGGCGAGGTTATTAAAGAGGTTCAGCGCCGTGAAACTTAACCTTTGACATGGCCGCTGGTTTGCAGCGCAGGCACATTGAAGGAAAAACCATGTGTCGTGCTCCAGCTAGATGTGTGACATTAACTGCCAAGAATGTGCCCAAAAGGTTATTTTAGTCTGCCGCCAGGTCATACTTTTGCTTTGGGGCAGTTTTGGGAAAGTCTGAACATGTGCAAGTGTTGTTTTTGTGTCAGGTTTGCTTTTGTGTCTTAAGAGAGGTGTGGAAAAAGAAAAGAGGGTTTAGCTTCTGTTTGGACATATCTGGTGGGTCACTCCCTTAACTCTGTGTCCTCCTCACACCCCATACTCGGGGTTTATGGGGGAGACAGCAGCTTCGCCATTGCTCGACACATTGACTAGTTGTTTTACAAAGAGGGGCTTTCATAAATGGATATTGACATGTTAGATTTTAGACTCACAAAGAGAGCCATTGAGAGCCGAGTGTTCGCTACTTGAAAACAAGGAATGATGACTCCTCCAGTGCTTACCTCATTCATGAAGAGGTTGCTGGACTCCAAGTCATCTGACCTCCATGATTTCAGTCGATAGCTGGCTCACACAGACCTCTTGAGTTCTAGCTCAGAAAAAAGAGGTCTTCTGTGAAGGTGTGTGCTCGCCACACGTGTGTGTCTGCGGAGGTTTTTCTAGGGCCGCTGCCCGCAAAGTAAAATTAAGCAGAAGCATAGGGGGAGGTTTGTGAGAGTGTTTGGTCATGAGGTAATGTGACAAAGGGAGTTTGTGCCAGGGATTTCTAGGAAAAGAGCCTTGGCTGCTCTAATATTCACACACATGCTGTAAATCAACTCCTCATTCCTGTGTGTGTGTGTGTGTGTGTGTGTGTGTGTGTATGTGTATGTGTATATGTATGTGTCTGTGTATATGTGTCTGTGTGTGTGTGTGTGTGTGTGTGTGTGTGTGTGTGTGTGAGACTCTGCCTGCCCTGGCTTGCTCCTCTGTGTGCGCAGTTGCGTATTGTGTGCATATGCTCTTGTCAGTGTGCATTTACATTTGTGTGAATGTGGGAGAGACGCAGTTAGTTTTGAAAGGCACAAGCCTGGAGTAGATTAAATGAGTGTGTGTGTGTGTGTGTGTGTGTGAGTGTGAGTGTGTGTATGTGTATGTAGGGTCACAGTGGGGATTTCCTTTCCCTTTCCCGAATATACATCCCTTGGCATAGAACACAGTGTACTTACTAGGTAATCACCAGGAATCGAGGAGGTAATGTTAAAGGGACAGTTCATGCCAAAATAGATTTTTCCTGTCACCTGTAGTGCTGTTTATCAATCTAGATTGTTTTGGTTTGAGTTGCTGAATGTTGGACATATCAGCCGTAGAGATGTCTGCCTTCTCTCCAGTATAATGGAACTAGATGGCACTCAGCTTGTGGTGCTCAAAGTGCCAAAAATATACATTTGAAAAACTCAACAGCAATGTCTCTTCCAGAAATCATGACCTGGTTGCTCAAGATAATCCACAGACCTTGTTGTGAGCAGTTTCATGTAGCAACTAAGGATGTCATGGGCTAACTGTTAATTGGTTAACCGCAGAGAATATTTTTGACCAGCTACTCATGTCACTTTTTACGTTAATGTTGCTGCTCAGTTAACTGCACTGCACACCACACGGGTAAGCTAGCAGCAATAACGCTGTCCTGACCCAACAACGTTGGTGTGGAAACATGGTGGCCATCCTCTGGTCTCCCCCCATAAGTAAGTGGCTCAATTTTAAGCCACAAATCCCCTTTAGCATTATCAGCACTATTAGCTCTGTTAGCATCGTTAGCAATGTCAGCACGGCTAGTGGTGCTAACATAGTTAATAATGTTAAAGGGGTTTTGCAGCTCAAAATGGAGTCGCTTACTAACTGAGGCTACCGAGGGCAAAGTGGGCCACTATGTTTCAGCAGCAGTAATAACCAAATGAGCACTGCTTGCTAGCTAGGTCCCACCTAACTGGGGCATGGACCCAGGTATAGTTCGCAGAGCGGAGCGGCTAAAGGCTAGCTTTGAGACCAGAGGGTTGGGAGTGAGCACTAAGTTTCTGCATGGGTAGTGGCTGGCTGACTGTCTCTCAGCAAAGCCAACAGAAAATAAAATAAAAGGCAAGATATTTAGGGCAGGAAACATTAAAATTTCACCACCTCAAAATGAACAGCATTTTGAAATGTGTTGCTAAAGCTCACTGAATCAATGAATCAGCAGATGAAAACAAAAATCCTCTTGTTTTTCTCATTATTATAATTATTTTTTTTAATTAACTGGTTAGTTACTGGTCAATAGGTGTTTGGCTATCAAAAGCTAAATTAACCAAAACTGACATTTCTACTAGGGACTGTTTTCTTTCTACTGAACTACACCCGTCAACCCCATCACCACTCAGAAGGAAGCTGGCATCTACTGCTAGCTTACCTAGCACCAACGAGCAAGCTAACGTTACAGCTTAGCCGAGGAGGGCGCATGACGGGTGTAGTTCGGTAGAAAGAAAATAGATCCCACATGAAGCTGCTCAAAAACAAGATCTGTGGATTATCTTGAGTAAGCAGGTCATGATTTCTGTAGAGACATTGATGTTGTGTTTTTCAAATGCATCTTTTTTGGCACTTTGAGCACCACAAGCTGAGTGCCATCTAGTTCCATTAAATTGGAGAGAAGGCAGACATCTCTATGGCCGATATCTCCAACACTCTGCAACTCACACCAAAACAATGTAGACTGAAAAGTAGAGCTACAGGGAAAAATAACTGACTTTAGGGTGAACTGTCCCTTTAAAGCTAAATGTTACAACATGACAGGTCAACAAATTTAAGCTTTTCAATTTGTCAAGGAAACAGCTGAGAGGGATTTAAATATTTCAGCTGAAAACCAGAGGGAGTGGCTGATTTGTGTGTGTGTGTGTGTGTGTTTAGGAAAACAACCTGAGCATGAGTGATGGCCAACACACTGTAGACAAATGGCCTGAGGGTGGCTCTTAAAGTTTATGAAGCTGTCCCACCTCTGAACACACATTCCTGCATCGAGGTCAAGACTCCTTTTCCTCAGTCCCTTTGCTTTACTCTGTTTAAATGTTCCATATGTCTCATTGAAAGCTAAGAGCCTCTTCTCCTGCGAACGACTCACGAGCGCAGGAGTTTTCTGGGGGGGGGTATGAAGTTACACAAGGAAGCATTTCTAGGAATCAGAACTTTCGTCTACTTTCACTGTTTCATCTCTTGGCTATCTCTGTCTCTTCTCTCTTCCCCTGAATGTTGCTGACACAGGAACCCCTCCAAGGCTTTCTACCAGGCCTTCCAGTCTGGCAGCAGATTAAGGGACTCAAAGGCCCACAGTGATAGGTACAGTACTATACTGGAATGGGCTGGACAGACGTGCAAGAGTTTAACAACATGTGTGCAGTGTTCAGTAGCAGCGAGCTTTGCTTTCTCCACGTGCATGGATTGAGTTTGGAAACAAAGCCTGGCAGCAAGTGCAGGATTGGCCAACAGGCTTCTCAACAACATCTACGTCCCTCTGTAATTTCTCCCACAACTTCTGTCTCTGCTGCTTTCTCTGACGCTCTCTGTGATTGCATATATTATCGGTGTCACTGAAAAATTCTGGTTTGTTTACTGCCGCAAGTTTGGCACCATCTCTATTGTCTTGCAGCGTAATTGCTGAGATCTTGGGGTGCAGAGAAACAATAGGACAAAATCCAAAAGGGCAACCAACACATGTGGGCAGACTGTTAAACAGATTGTAAACAAGTTAAGCTGAATTACAGCTGAACTTAATTATGTTTAGCACTAAATTATAATTTTTTTCTCAATTAAGCGTTTAATCATTTCGTCTATGAAATGTCAGAAAATAATAAATATCCTTCACAGTTTCCTGGAAGAACCAAAGGCATGGTTCAGACTTTGACATATAAATTGCTCAAGGTCATATGTCAGCTGATATTAGCTAATTGTAGGTGAAATAATAAACTTTATTTATATGGCACCTTTTGAAATCCATTTACAAAGTGCTTTGAAATAAAATCTAGTGCTGCCCCCATCTAAGAATTTTCCTAGTCAACCAATAGTCGTCATTTATGGCCATTAGTCGACTAGTCGCCCACATGTTTACGATGTTAATTTAATTATTAAATGATATATATTGGGCGGGGCAACACAATGGTTTGAGTTGAAGGTGTGAGAAAGAATAGTATCAGTAACATTGTTAACACTGTGCTACATTACAGAGAAATACAAAACCGTACTAATGAACCTTCATTAATATAGGCCTATATTTTATCTACAAGTGCACGTCACACACTGAGCGAGCCGCCTGTTAATGACGCTGTGGGCTAATGGGCATGTAGCTACTTCCATGTTTCAGATGATACGTCATGTTTGTAGTCGACCAGTGAAGATGAGTTTACATATCACCTTGGGTTCGTCCTTCACCTTCTCAAAATGATCCCACGCTTATGGCACGTGTTGCTGCTGCCCCTGTCCACCGCAGTACATTGCTTAGCTTTTGTGTCAGTGCTTCTGCCTGCTTCTCCAAACTAAGGACGTGCCGACCGCCATCTACTGTAGGTAATACACTGACTATGGATAAGTACCTGAAGACTATCCCTTTAACTACAGATAGCCTGATCATGATTGAAGCAGGAAGTAGTGCTGCAGTCTAACAGATGTTTCAAACAGACACGTGAATTTTCATTTCCCAGTAAGTAAACTGTTTATTTACAACCTGTCTGATCATCTGACTGCTCATGCTGCTCACAGTATTAGATTTCATTATGGTTTCAACGTCCCAAGATCTCAGAGGGTAATTTGTTTAGTAATGTTTTTATACTTTACAGAGAATGTCCCAAACTAATAAACTGATTCTATTATTAGAAATAAAGCATTTTAACATTCTCAGCTTGTTGCTTTCAAGCGGATGACAGCGGCTGCAGAGTGCGTGCATGCTATCTGTAACACGGGACTGAAATAACAGTCTTCGTACGGCCTGGTTTGCAGTGCAACACTCTCTCCGCTGTGTCACTGTTTCTGTCAAGTGACTTTTAATCACGGCTGCGTTTCAGAGTCATCATTGAGCTCTTGAATTGGTAATTGACACTAGACTCTGGCCTTGTGTTCGTACAGACACTCTGTTACCCTGTGGCTGTGAGAGAAGGCCTTCATCGTTTTTATGAGGCCTTTTACCAAAATGAAAAGGGAAGCACATGAAACTATATCTGAGAGACAGGAAATGAAACTGTTTTTAGAGAAATATAGAACTGACACACCATCACCAGCCACCAAGGAACTGCACACACACTCTCACGCACACAAACATGCACACAGTAACTTCAGTCCATTGGCTGCCTTTGTTAGATAAAGATGCAAACAGGTAAATCGACATAGTGATGGCATTATCTAAACGGCCATGTTGTGTGTAGTCTTATTACTTTGAGTCAATATCTGTTTTTACGTCTTTCCACTCTGAGTGTTCTGATCGCTCCATTTGCCAAATTTAAGGTGATTTCCACTCTCAGCAGAAGAATAGTAAGATTGTTATGAGCCCCATGCTTCACTTCTTTTTTTTTGTGTGTGTTGCTGTTGTGGATACGCTGCTCTGCCAAAGGCTGCTTTTGTTTCCATGGAAGCAAAGTTAACCAGGGCTTTGTTTGAGACTGTGTGTTTGCTAGATCTTGGCGATGGCCTTTGGTGTTGACCCTTAATCAGCCCACTTTATTTAGGTTTATTCGGGATCACATCAGACATTTCGGCAAAAGAAGACACTGACCTTTCATTTCCAACAGATCCTTTCGTGGTTGTTTATAACTCCCAATATGGAAATTGAATTCTTGATTACCTTGATGACAGCTATACAACAGCACATTTCCTGCAATGTAGAGGAAACGACATACAGATACACTTTTATACTCACTACTTCCGTCTCATCTATACTCTGTTTTTGAAACCCCATCGACTGCACAGTAGAACTTTGCGAGATGCATTGCTGAAGACTGTGTTGTCAAAATAAAAGTCCCCCATATGGTCATCCTCGTGGCTCACTTGGCACGCGTTCCTGGCACCTTTTGTAATGTGTCATCCTGTTCCGTCTTTCCTTTTATATTCTTTTCTCCTCATCAATCTGGGCTCCATATTTTCTCTCAAAGAGAAAACTGTACAGTACATAAATGTTTTGAACTTTAACAAAATGCACATATTAGGGTGTAACACTACAGAGAAATCATGGTTAGATACAGCAGATAAATAAACCCCAAATAAATAAGGATACTTTGTTTTCATTTATTTTGAGCAGACAGTAGTGCAAGTGCGAACGGGAGATAAAATCCTCTTGCTGGGGACGGAGGTAACATTTTGCCCACTGGCAACTTTGGTAAGCTATTTTCATTTTAGAAATAAGGAACCCTTTCAGCTCCCCTGTATTACACTGAACAAACACTTTCCCAAAAGGCAACAGGTCACAAAAAGGTATAAAACTGAAAACAGCTCTTGTGCTGTGAACTGAAAATACAAAATTAAAAGAATAATAAAACATAAAAGTTTTGCACCAGGGGGAGTTTCTCAATTAGATTCACCGTGGGTATTCTGATGATCGGCACATCTGAGTGATGATGTTAAATGTGTTTTCATTTACATCCCCTACAGCTGCGGAGCAACATCGTCGTCATTGTCTTAAGCCGCGTTTCCACCAAACATTTTCGGTATGGTACCTGGAACTAAAAGTACCCTTCAGAAATGGTACCAAGACCCTGGCGTTTCCACCACAAACAGTACTCCTAAATGTGGGCGGGGTTGTTGTCACTCACTGCTCCGTCCAGCACTCACTGTATTTCTTCATCACCAGTGACACATGGAAGTGTACGCATTGTTTATCGTCCACAGAACGAGGCTGCACGCCGACATTTTCAGAACAAAATAAAACAGTCCTTCTCAGGCAAGCTCAGGGGTTTAGTGTTGCCATAGTCTACAGGAACGACGCTCCGCAACGTTTTTTTTTTTTCTCCAAGTGAGGATTATAATATATGCAGTCCATATAATCCGGACAAAATTAACATATAGGGATGCACTGAATATTCGGTAACTGAATATATTCGGCCGAATATTGCAAAAAACCACACATTCGGTATTCGGTGGAATAAGTCAAAAGCAAGGCCGAATAATAGTGGCGCGGTTTTGATAACGCAATCAAACAGCGTGCCGTGACGGGCGGAGTAAAATGTCGGCAGTCACCGTCACCGCACTCGCATTTGCGACTAAAAATAGTTTTGAGTGAGCAAAATAGGCTTTAATCATTCAACACGCTGTGCGAGCAGCCTACAGATTTCAACCACCAGCAGAAACGAAAGGCGAATCCCACCGATTGTGGGTTGAACGGGGGTCACAGACACAGACAGTAATGTATTCCAGTCAAATATGGCGGCCATTGGCTTACCGGTGAGGAGAAGTCTGCTCCAATAATATCCTCTTCTTGGCGTGTGGACTGCCCAGAAGTACCTGAACAGCCGAGCCAGCCGAACACAGGTATGTGATGTGTCAGAGGAGGAACGAGCCGTTCACGGTCCACAAACCTCACCGCACTTTAGGGACTGTTCTTTACTTATGAAGGGACCGTCAGGGGAGGAGGGTGGCTGGTTGATTCTTATTTTATTTATTTATTTATTTTATTTTGATCCCCCCTATGTTCATCACTTATTGATGCTGTTTTTTAAGTATGAATAAGTCAATAAGTAATTTATTCCATTGAAATATCATTGATGTATTATAGAAAAGTGATTTATCTTTTCATAAATGACAAAAGGCACATCTGCCTCATTTTCGCTGTGGTATCGTGATACTACTCAGAACCATGATATTTTCATTGGTATCGTACAGTGGGTCCCAATTTTGGTACCATGACAACACTAATCTGGAGGGGGTTCATCTGCAAAAACTAATGAACAACTAAACAACGATATTCGGTACTCGGTACTCGGCCAAGCGTTTAATATTATTTGGCTTCGGCTTCTGCCACAAATTTTCATTTCAGTGCATCCCTATTAACATAGTTAAGATATAGTGTTCTGAAGATCCATTTATTACTAAAAATGTCTGTATATGTATGTTTCACGTTGTCAGCTCATGCATTGAGTAACATTACAAGTTAACGTTCCACCTTAAAAGTCGCCGGCAGTCGGCCCAGTGAATTAAGTTGATTTTTCCTCCGACTCCAGTTGCTGTAAGACGCAGCAAAATATCCTTTCATTTATAGTTACAGTAATAAAACTCTCCACGGTATGAACAGTGGTTACATGAGCCTCAAAACCAGCCACAGCTCAGCCCTGAGCAGAGTGAGCGTCCTCTATTGACCAATC